GTGTCATCAAGCCACGCAATTCTGCATCATCCATTCGTGTAATCAAGTATGATCAATTCATACAATAAGTAGCATCGACTGATGTAATTACGTCTTATCAATAAATAATATTACGTATCATCAATCCTTGCTCCCTGCACAGCTCGTCCCAGCACAGCGTCCAGGTCCCAGCTGTGCTGGGCAACGGCAGCCTGTACTTCCAGTCCCTGCGCAGGGCTGACGCGGGCTGGTACTTGTGTCAGGCTGACAACGGCGTCATGGAGCCTATTGCTGACTACGTCAGGCTGGTGGTACATGGTAGGTTGATGTTGTCAGAGGGGGTTAGGTGGTAGTTGTGAGGGGGACTAAATTAGGGGGTATTTTTGAGAGGGACTAAGGTAAGTGACAATTGTGAGGGGGGATTATAGTAGGTGACGGTTTTGACTTGGAATAAGTTAGGTGACGGCTGTGAGGGGGAATAAGTTAGGGGTGTGTTTTTGAGAGGGACAATGTAAAGTGACNGGGGACTATACGAGGTCGCCGTCCAGGCCTTCAACAGAGCGGGGGTCGGACCCCCCACCTCCCCCAGGGTCGTCCGTGCCACGCTCTTCTCTGGTGAGAGGAGATATATATATAGCATAATATTATATGATATTATCGTATGTAATATAAAATATTATAATATAAAATACTATTATATAATATTATATAACATATATATAGTATGTATAGAAAATGAAATGGCTAACGTAACCTAATAATCTTCACAATGGCCGTCCGTGGAGTTAAAGTTGACCACTTCATTCCGAAATATATTCCACTCTCTACCTTATTAGTAATATACTGTATATTTCATCAAAATACACATTTCTATTTGAGGCCTTTTTTAACCTTACTAAATTATAATGAAAAATTCCTAACAAAGAAGTAAGTTAAAAATCTCTTACACCTATTCTCGAAAAAAATTATTACTATTTGCTCATCCTAAATATAAGGACGTTATTTCTGCCCGCATGCAGTCTAACCTGGAATGTAAGTACAGTTGTGCGCGTTGCTCATCAGTGTCCATCGGAGTGACGTCACGTAACTTTTACAACCGGGGTTTTATGAACACCGCGGCAGGAGTTTTCGTTCGAACTTGCCTCTTTCCAAGCCTTCTCATTCTGCTGTGTGCCACGGCGTATATATTTGGTTTCTCACGGCTTATTGTACTTGTATTTTCAAATAAAATTTTAAGTGCCAATGGAGCTGGTCTCCGAAAAGTTTCCATGAATATATTTTGAATTTCCTGGGTGTTTTCTTCTTGGTGAACTTGCGATTAAAGCAAAATAATGATATAAGCACTTATATTAAATTATTATACAACAAATAACATTATATTATACTACATCCTTACTTATATATATTATATTATTATATTACATCATTATATTATACTACATCATTATATTATATATCCCAGAGCCGAGTGCGCCCACTCGCCTGAGGGGGATCAGTACGGGGGTGTCAAGCGTCCTCGTGTCGTGGGGACCTCCTGCAAGCTCAAAGGGGACACTCCTGCACTACACCCTCTACACCCACGTCAGGGGGAAGGTGATTATAGTACCATTATCTTGTCTAACTGTAATTATACTACAATAAACATGCTGTATCTTATTGGTCCAAAATTTATAGAAATAATGCAAGTGATATATTCCATTCCAAGTTTTGGTTAGCGAAGTCAAATGAAGTCAAACTTTATATTAAAACAAGTGAACAACATTTATTATGTCCGAGCCGATTAAAGTACTCATGACTCACTCATTAAGAATTATTTTTTCAATACACATTCGCATGTACATTGTTAGAAAAACGGCGAAAAAACGGTCCCTTTGGCGTTCTAGTGGCCGGTCGCCCCGTGAAAATAAACTGTTTCGCCGTTTTTATCAGATGTTTTACGGATTTCTAGTGTTAAATTAGAATAAAAACGGCAACACGGTGTTTCTTATCACTTGCCGACCGGCCACTGAAACGCCGGTAATACAGTTAACGGTAATTTTTCTAACAGTGTAATAAGTAGTCCACTATATCGAATATATGTATATCAATTTTCTGTTGACCTAACTCAATTGGAAAAACCTACTCATCTTCTGCAAATCACTTGAAACCTAGTTGAAAAACTAGGTTTCAAGTGATGAGTTTCATTCAACAATTGCATTACCCACAGTCTTGGTTGAAAATTCCAACAATCGTTGAGAAAATAGTTACTATAATTTTTCTGTAACGCATTTAATGACAACATCGGTCACAAAATCAGCAAAATAAATTTTAAGCAGAAATTTTAAGCGTTATTAATCGTTGAATTCAATTGACCAGCCAGTGGAGCGCACGCTGGTGGCTGCTGGTGGTATGGACTCAGGCTGGCGAGAGCTGACTAACCTACACACAGAAACTCTGCTGCAGGTCAGTTGAGTTAAGTTAGATTAACTTAAGTTTAGTAACATTAGTTTAGTTTAGTAAGTTTAGTAACGAAAGAACTTATCTGACATTCATCGAGTAATGTATCCTCTATTGTTATGCGTGGGTATGCCGGTACAGGTGAGGAGGGCTTACCTCAACTCTAGTTGAGTTATAGGTTGAGGTTGAGTTATAGGTTGAGGTTGAGTTATAGGTTGAGGTTGAGTTATAGGTTGAGGTTGAGTTATAAGTTGAGGTTGAGTTATAAGTTGAGGTTGAGTTATAGGTTGAGGTTGAGTTCCCTTGAATAATGGTATATCTTATCTGTAATTATTTTTTGGGGCTTTTTTATTTATGTTGGAGTTGATTCAATTTATTTTGGAGTTGATTTCATTTCCTCGGGAGTTAATTTCATTTATTTGGGAGTTGCTAACCCAGACAAATGAAATTAAGTTGATTTCATTTATTCGAGAGTTTATTTTAATTTCTTTAATTTCTCGTCAGGTGTGGGTGACGGCCAGCACCTCAGCGGGTGAAGGTCCCCCGTCATCTCGGATCACCCTCAACCCCACTAATTCCCCCACTCACCCTCCCCTCATCCTTGGAGGTGGGGGTGAGTGGTGGGTGATCAAAGGAGGAGGAATCACCCTAGGGTGCAGGAAAGTGGGGGAGCCCTCCCCCCAGGTCGTGTGGGGGAGGAATGGGGGATTGAAGACCGGGGGACGACTGTTACCTGGAGGGGACTTGCATTTACCAGGTTAGTGAAATATTAAGAAAAATAGAAAAAGTAACAAATAAATTGTTCCATTTAAAATATTTGGATTGATAGCAAAATTAGGATAAAATAATTGAAACGGCATTAATTTTATTGGGACAGTTTTGGAAAAAAAATTATTTGATAAGGCTATATTGACATGAAATCAACTTCACATTCATATAAATTAATGCTCGATTTGAACTTCCTGATTAAGAAATATTATCTATCTGATAAAAAATGTTATGTCTTATAATTTAAAAATTTCCCTGAATATCAAATTCTCAACAGATTCGAACACGAAATTTTTAACAAATAGATCCGCAAATTACAAAAATTTTTGGTTTTGAATTCTCACGGCATCTCTGTGCAACTTAAAAATTTTACAACGATTTAATGTTAATTTCCTCTCTAATTTACGCGCAGAGCTGCACGAGTCCTGCAATTTCACGTGCACGGTAAAGAACCCGCTGGGGGAAGACCACGTGTCGCACGTGATCCACGTGACCTCCCCACCAGCAGCCCCAACCGTAGCGGTGGCCCAGGCCAGCCCCAGCTCCCTGAACCTCACCATCGAGGGGAACGGGGATGGTGGGGCTCCAGTGTTGGGTGCGTGGCAAGGGGGTCTGAAAAGTTATGACATAGTTATAATCGTAATAAAAAATATATATAAATATACAGGTACGATTAATGACCAGATACCGTGTAATACTAATATAAATATTCAAATATAAATATATTTATATGTGTATTATATATAAAGAATATTTTACAAATTTTGGTATAGGGTATATTGTAATCATTCTCCTGAATTGGAGGGGGAAGAAAATTTAAATTAATATCACAACAAATTAATACAAGAAACTTTACGTAATATCAAATTAAGATGTAACAAATGTTGTTATAATCTTTTGAAGATGAAACGTGATATTTGAAGGGAATTAATTTTCATACCAAGAGATAAAAATGTCCGCTCAACTGATGACATTGCGCAGGCTACACGGTGCACTACCGCCTGCCGTCTGGGTCGTGGCAGCAGCAGGCGACGCCTGATAACTGAGATAACAATGTCCGCTCAAAGCAGGCTACACGGTGCACTACCGCCTGCCGTCTGGGTCGTGGCAGCAGCAGGCGGCTGAGGTGCGGGTTGCGGATGCGGTAAGCAGCGCTCAGCTGCGGTCCCTGCCGTGTGGTACTCCGGTCCACATTTACGCCACATCCAGCAACCAGTACGGAGTGTCCCCCGCCAGCGACGTGATCGTGGGACGCACGAGTGGATATGTTCCTCCTCGTCCTGATCCACAGTCGCTGGTGGAGCTGAACTCCTCCTGTGTCACCCTCAGGCTCTACACTTGGCCGGAGCGCGGCTGTGCCATCAGCGGCTGGAAGGTGAGAGGCGAGTGTAAGGATCAATGGCAGAACGTACTTTAGTTTAAAGCAATTAATGTAATACAAACGTCTATAAATACCTTATATCTATAATATATTGTTGTTAGGTTGAGCGGCAGGCGGAGGACGCGCCTGCCAATGAATGGCAGATCATTGGAGCGTCCATCGCTCGGGACGCGCGCGACTTGGACCTTTGCGACTTCCCCCGCGGCCAGCGACACCTCCTCAAGATGACGGCCAAGTCTGAAGCAGGCGCTACGACTGTGCTGTACCGTGTGATGCCTGGTGCCCTCGAGGCTGGTGAGTTGTGAGGGTTCTGTGAGAGAAAAGAGGGTTAGGGCCGCCGCCATGACTGTGCTGTACCGTGTGATGCCCGGTGCCCTCGAGGCTGGTGAGTGGGTGAGGGTTCTGTGAGAGAAAAGAGGGTTAGGGGCACCGCCACGACTGTGCTGTACCGTGTGATGCCTGGTGCCCTCGAGGCTGGTGAGTTGTGAGGGTTCTGTGAGGGAAAAGAGGGTTAGGGCCGCCGCCATGACTGTGCTGTACCGCGTGATGCCTGGTGCCCTCGAGGCTGGTGAGTTGTGAGGGTTCTGTGAGGGAAAAGAGGGTTAGGGCCGCCATGAAGCGGCAATGAAGTAAATAGTGTTGAAGCCCATGAATACGCGTCTTGTGCTTTATTAAAAAACACAGATGAAAATGTATTTCAACTTTCAATAGTGAAAGCAACCTGAAAACGATAAATGATAATATATAAGTCAGCAATAAATAATTTCCTTTTTTCACAGCTCAGGAAGGTGACACAAGTGGCTTAGTTCAGGAAATTTCCCTGGTTTCTTCGAATTCACCTTCTGGTTTTCTAGAAGCTCCGGTGATTGCTGGCTGTATCAGCGCCATCCTTCTCGTATCAGCAATAATAATTTGCGTTTGCGCTGTGCTTTCCAAGCGAAAATTTAGCTGGCGAAATAACACTACAACCGCTGGTCGAACCTCCATAGACTGCAAAGAGAAGCCCGTGAACGGAATATATTCTACAAGTGATTACAAACGGGCTGCTTCAGCTCAAAAAATCCATAGCAGTCAATTTGGGACGTCGTCAAAGAAAAAAGTGAAGAGAGGATCCGTGGCTTCGTTATCGACTAGAAATGATAATTCGAATTTCGAAATTTATCCGTACGCTACTTTCGGGTAGGTGAAGTGTCATGAATTTAGCTTTCAATGCTGGTTTTCTCATTTTTTAAATACCAGATCATAAATGGACGCAAGTTCATTTGCCATTGAACAGGTAGCGTAAGAAATGCGATTAATGATGTTTGCAGACTATTTGAAATGTTAACTATATATTGAAGCACTCATAATGGATCTTCCAAAATTCCTCTAATTTTTTATTTCTTTAGCTCCTAAGTTATTTTCTAACGGACTAAAATTACAATAATGTAGACCCTGTCCCTGCCCAGAACCACGCCACGCCTTGACGCGGACACTTACCAGTACGGCCTGAACCTGCGCAGCCAGACGCCGGGCTCCCGGGACTGTCTGGACACGGCGTCCGTGGAGTGGGCGAGAACTGGTCAGGCCTAATAACCTTTGCAGTAACTGATTAAGTATTAATTGATACTGTTTGAATAATAACCTGTGTACAATCTGATCAGATATTAATTAATACAGTTTAAATGTTACGTATATTAGTTTGGCGAAGGACTTGAATGCATGATTTTTCGTTCAGTTGTCTTTATAAATCGGTTTCTGTAAACAAACAATATACAAAGGTAAAAATGATTACATAAAATTAGTATTGCACATAAGGTATGATCAAGAAGTAAAATAATTTATTTTGAACATATATGTATAACACGATAAAAGTCAAATATACACGTTACACGGATCTTCAGAATTAAAACACACGCACCAATCATTTCCGTCTTTACAGTCTAGAGCCAACACCGCAACTAAACCTCTAGATGCTTTTAAAACCGAACTAAAGTAAAATGTCAGTGACACGTATGCACCAGGCGTACGAAATATAAAAGAGAAGTGCAGTTGAGAACCAAGAATAATATTCAACATTAAATAAATTATTACTAAATTGAATTCATTATTTATTTAATACTGACCAAAAAATGCCGTAAAATGATTTGATTATCATTTTAGTCCCCGACAAGCCCGTGAAATAAAACACTGTATTGCTGAATATTCCAATTAAACACAAGGAACCGCTAGCACTTTTGAAAAAGCCAAACAGTTTATTTCATCACGCAGCTGGCCACTATAGGTAGTCTGTAACACCATTTTTCACCGCACTATAGCAGTATCGCAGTGGTCCAGTACATATTACGATTTTAAAGAAATTTACTCATAATAATTGTATTTAATAATAAAAGAATTACATTTATATAATTTTCTTCCAAATCAATGATGATAATATCATATCTAAACATTATAAAATAATTCTACTCGAATATTAAGACAATTTTAGATTAGACGGCAAAATACTCCAATATGGAGTATTGCTCTATACCCTTTTTTCACTAATTTACTCTTTTTTCACTAATTTACTCTATTTTTCACTAATTTACTCCATTTTCACCAATTTACTCTATTTTTCACTAATTTACTCAATTTTTTACCAATTTACTCCATTTTTCACCAATGTACTCCATTTTCACCAATTTACTCCATTTTTCACCAATTTACTCCATTTTTCACCAATGTACTCCATTTTCACCAATTTACTCCATTTTTCACCAATTTACTCCATTTTTCACCAATTAACTCTACTTTTCACCAGTTTACTCCATGTTTCACCAATTTACTCTACTTTTTGCTAATTTACTCCATTTTTCACCAATTTACTTCATTTTTCACCAATGTACTCTATTTTTCACTAATTTACTCTATTTTTCACCAATATACTCTATTTTCACTAATTTACTCTATTTTCCACTAATTTACTCTATTTTTCACCAATTTACTCTATTTTTCACCAATTTACTCAATTTTTCACCAATTTACTCTATTTTTCACCAATTTACTCTCTTTATTACCAATTTACTCTACTTTTCACCAATTTAATCTATTTTCACCAATTTACTCTATTTTTCACCAATTACAGCTGACGAAGCATTATTTTTCTTCCTCCCCCCCAGACGTGTACCAGTCCGACGACACCGACACGTACTGTGCCACGCAGCACAACATACCCACTGACCTTACGCCTGCCGCACGCAGCCTCGTCGACACGACCAAGCTTTGCGTAGCTGTTACGCAAGGTGGTAAATATGTGGCTATTATTGATATAATGCCCCCAGTGAAGTAATAGGTTCTAGTTATGCAATAGAAAACTTTGCTCCTTTTGTAAGATTTTATATTCATGAACAACAGATATAATATTTTAAGTCCCAATGTTTCTTGTTTACGTCTTTATAAAATTGTTTGAAAATTGTGGGTCTCAAGATTATCGAAGATGCGATACCATGGCATTATGATGCTATTATTGAGTGTAGTCGAAGTTATGAACATCTATTGAATTGTTGGAAACTCAAAACAACAAATTTGCTCCCGATCATAATCCAGAAGTACATCATCAAAGAAATTTTTTGGGTAATATTTCGTATCTTCTTTTTTCTAAATATTCTAGAAACTTGTACCAATTTTTTTTCTATTTAGGTGGACGTTGCATGACAAAAAAATTTCTTTGAAAAAATGGAAAATTTTCACCTAAAAATCTGAATCTGAGGTACCCTATCGAAACTTCACCCTCGTAATATTATTCGTATAGTAAGTTCTAAATAATCTAACTTAGCCCTGTAACGCCCAAGTTTTAAGCCAGTGCAAAAATAATATTATAATCATACCACATTGCTAAAATTTATTCTATGAAAAAATGCTGAGGGCATCATAATCATACCTGGTCATAATGCAGTATAAAAATTATAAGCGACATATTTGTTCAATAATTGTACGAATGACACCCATACATAAACGGAAAGCTACATTTCAAAATGCGACATATACGTTCAGCTGGACAGAAAAGGTTTATAATCAACATAATTTCAATGTTTTATTTTCAATAAGCACTTGGATGTACCACCATTTGAACCACTTTCAAGAACAATTTTCATAAACCACTTTCAAATGAAAATGAAAGTTTCAGTTCCACGAACCCTGAAGACTAAGATCTAATCTAATGCGTTCGGGTTTCAGATGACGTCATGCAAGAAACAAAAAATGGACCAGCCTCTACTCTTCGGCACCATGAACAACAAGTAACATCAAGTAAAAATCAGGAGCAGCATCAACCACGCTTGATGCAACCTCTCCCTCAGACTGATCATCAATATATTCAACACAATCGGCCTCACCACCCCGAAGAAATTTATCAGAGGCGCAAACGGCTCGTGGAAATTCAGCATAAGAAAAATCACTATCACCATAAACCGAAAAAAGATGATTTTGATCAGGAATTGTAGAATGGTAGCTGTAATCCCTTCTAAATGTAAAAAACTGGTTAATGTTTCTTTGGATGATGTATTATAATTTATTAACTCTCAAATCTACAGTCAATGCAAAATTTCATATGAAGGAAAGCATTAAATAATTTATTGCACTGCTATTACGGATGTTGTTGTTTGTATTTCATCATTAGGTCCTAGACTACGAATGATTAGCATAGCCTACAGGATTAGTACATTTCTGGATAGAGCTCTAGGTTATTCGAACCTTTCCTCAAATCCCTGTTTCTTCATTTAATATTAAACTAAAATAATATCGAATTGAGAGCACGTTCATTCTCAAAGAAAACGTTGTTAATGCGAAAAGATATCTGTGTCTGCAATACGTTTCAAATTGCCATGCTCCCCATTAGGCCTTGAATTGACACAGCTCATCTATGTTCATGCGTGAATCTGCTCCTTTATTGTAACTTTAATAATTTTCTTTTAATATACTCAGAGGAATAAATGGGACTTTGTCCGAATAGCGATGCGTATTTCACACTTGTGCGGGTCAGACTGATCCACTTTGGCCCGAAAAAGGCCAGGTCCACTTTGGCCCAAAATAGGGCATATATTAGGGCAAGTTTGGCCCGAAAAAGGCCCGATCCGGTTTGGCCCAAAAAAGGGCATATTAGCGCAACGCGCTACCTCTGCTTTTGTTGTGGGTAAAATGGCTCATTATTTGGACATTACACATTAATTGCTTCAGTGTATGTTTTTAATTATACATTCCGAAGCAAATTTTTATGCTAAAATATCTTACTAAACTTTCACAGGTTAATTGTTTCCATAACAACAGATTTCCGAACATGAAATCAATATTGCGTGGTACAAAACGAGAATTATGTTATCACATAGCGACGAATATTTCACATCATGCAATCGTTTGTATAATAAAAAATATATTCGAGCGATCTGTCTATGTCATTTAATTAGTATTTAATTATTTTAATTTATTTGCTGACTGTTACGTTAAGAATCGAATTTAGCAGCTAATTAATAAGGTTTTGAAGGTTGAGCACTCACTATCTCTTTTAATAATCTCTTTGATCTTTTTTGGTCCTCCTGAAAAGGCAAGAAGAGTGGTGAAATAATAAAAAATTGAAAAAAAAATTAAAAGACCGAAAGAAACAAAAAATTAAGGGAACGCAATCCCCGTCTCATTTCATGATGCGTACACGTATTAAATTGCGATATATTAATTTTAGCTCATGCGTTAGGTAGGAGCAAATGTGTAATTGTTGTCTCCTTGTAAAGTTTATAGTGAAACCTAATGTTGTGTGCCCAATAGCAATTCAATGAATAAACTCCCGATACTGTGCCTTTGATTTGGATTTCTTCAAATGAATTAGTATAAAATTAAGTTAACGTGTTCATATGAAATTTTCTTCAATAATTAAATTCAGATAACAAGTTTTTCATGGTAGGTTCAACCTAAAAATCTGTAAAACAATTTTCAGAAGTTACTTAGTAACTTAATGTGACATTTTCAGTTCTACTGAATGATATTAGCGTAAAAAATATTGTTTTGAAAGTAATTTCAAATGTAAGAGAACAAAAAAAAATTTGAGGTTATTTTTAATAAAAGTTTAGGAAAATAACACTGGAAACTAATACTGCTTATCAATGTACGACAACCACGAGAACATTTGCTAGTAGTTTTTATTCGACATTTCACAGATTCGAAAAAAATACCGACTGCAGCTTTGTCGAGATATGAACTTAGCGTACAGGTAATTATGAAACTTCATAGTTTTAATGCACGCAAGTGCCCGAGAGCCCGATCAACGAACTCGAATTTTAAATACAAGCTATGATTGCAAGTAAGAATTCAAATCACTGAAGTGATATGGAAATATTGGGCGAGTGAGACAATCGTGATCAGGGATTGCGAGTATGCCTTGAGCAAGTGTAATCATGAGTAGTAATTAAGAGAATTATTTGAGAAAGGGAAATTATGAGCAATAATTAAGAGGATTAATTGAGAAATGGAAATTACAAGGAATAATTAAGAGGATTATTTTAGAAAGGGAAATTTTAAGGAATAATATAATTTTAGCATGAGTAATCTTGAGCAGAAATGTGAAGGATATTCGTTACCAAGAGTTAACATGAACCTTAAATAAAGAGGCTAACTTCATCAAGTGTAATCATGAACAATAATCAAGACGATAACATGAGCTAGAGCAATCATGAACTTTAATTACGAAGAATATTTGAATAAGAGTCGTTAGTTTCTGCCACAGCCCGAGGCATTGATCGTTTACCGGAGCTGGCAACCGTACAAACAGAGGCCGTCACCATGACGTTCTGAATAGTTTGCTAAACAGACATTAATAATTTGAAAATAGTTTTCTCCAATGAAAATGCAATGATTTTTTCTATATGAACTGAGTTCCTTGTGTCTTGCTAAATTTTCACATAAATTGAAAGTCCATGCTGAGAAATCAGAGTGCACTAGCTTTTCATATATATCTTTGTAATCGAATTCGCGAGGTAATTAATTTAAAATTAATTTTCAGACTTAAGAGCATTCTAATTTGTAGACTTAGTTATAAGAATTTGCTCACCACACATGCAAAACAAGTGTTTTCTAAAAAAATTAAAGCAAATTTTCTTTCCTTGCTAAATGTAACAAAATTTCAAATTTGCGTTTTTGGCCGTTATCGAAAAATATACTAGTACCGGGCTGTAGGAAAACATACTAGAAACGTAGACGGAAGAACTAATTATGCGTATGAACTTGGACAAATTAAGTGTGCGAATATGCAGTGCGAGGTCAAACTTTATAAAAATCGACTTCCTACCCTCGCTTGTCCCCCTTCCTCCTCCCCTTCCAACCCCCCCATCTCGATAAAGCTTCTCGGTGAGGGAACCAGGGAGACTGCCTTCCACACGCGCACCAGGCAGCGACCTGTGAGGGCTGGCTGTCTTGACGGTGGCCGGCGAGGGCTGGCTGTCTTGACGGTGGCCTGCGAGGGCTGACTGTCTTGACGGTGGCCAAGAATGCAATTACAAACAAAAAATTAAATTCCAGCAATTCAAGACAATTTATTCTAAACGGAATATTTTTTGCCAAGTCTTGTTCAAGAAAAAATTTACAGTTTTCCAGAATATTAGGCTCTGAATTAAAAGTATACTCTGGTGATTTAAAAATCTAAACTCTGTTGCTCTCCACGTTTTGAATTTTTAGGCTGAGATAGTAAAAAATTAGGCAGAATTTGTGAATGCTTTAGATGAAAGTGATAGCCTCTGTAGGTAACTGGAGGCTAGTTTATCGATAATATGGAGGGGAAAATTGAAAAATTTGTGCGTTTCTACGCCACACTTTATGTACTGGCTTCTCTGTGCTGCCAGAACGGCGATTGTAAAAGTAAGTTTTTGCCTATTGTCGTGTTATTTCAGGATTGCTTTTGATTCTGATGATAGATTCTGCTTATTGAAAAGCAGAGTCTAGCATTCTGTTCTTGATTCATTATTGCTAGTGTGGTTTTTAAATTTTATATATTATAATTTTAGTCGTCATTAAAATGATTGTTGTTATAGTGGCATTTACACCTGATAATAATTGTCATTGCTTGCCGTTTGTTTCGCATATTTCGCATAATGAATCAAGTGAAATTCTCGTTCAAGTGAATCTATAAAATAATCTTATTATTAATTGAGGACATTCATGAGGACTTGTTATCAATTGAGGACTCAATAAAAAAATTCATGAGCAACATCAGAAGTTTGCAACTCAAGTTCCGCTCGTCCAGTTCACCATACAATACAAATGTTCACTAAGAATACTTCATATCCTTGGGGTGCTTAAACTGCAAATAAACAAATAATGTGATAGCAAAAATTCGTCTTATCTTCAATATAAAAGTTTCGAAGGTCACCTACGTCTCGTCTTCGTTATTACGTCGTTACACTGTAAGAAAAAAATCACCGTTAAACGGTATTACCGGCGTTTAGTAAGCGGCCGGCACGGGAAAATATACACCGTGTTGCCGTTTAAATTTCAATTTTACACTAGAATCCCGTATAACATCTGAAAAAAACGCAAAACTGTTTATTTTTAAAGGGAAGCTGGTTACTAGAACGCGGTAAATCCTTTTTTTTTTTTTGTTTTACTGTTTTTCGAACAGTGTAACTCTACTGAACTTGAAAGTTTTGAACTGATGGTGAAGCAAGTACTTGATACTTTTTCTATGCAGATATGATGAATATATTTGGCGTATTCTTCATACGTATACAATATTCATGATACATGCATATTTTTTCCAGCTGAGAACGATTTTTGCAGCGCCAACTTGACTGAATTGGGCGGCGTTCCGGACCAGATAATCATCCCTAACGGAAATATGTCGGCTTACAGTCCCGACCTGGACGTCATTGCCGTGAGTTTGCTTTCATACGCGTCACTAATATAATGAATATTTCAATTAAACACTTTCCTTTAACATCATTAATAACTGATATTATTAGCGATATTTATAAGCAAGTGCATAGTCTTTGGATATTGATTATATTGTTTCTTGCGCTGTTTGTAATATGCCGTACATTTCAATGTGCCAGATTTACAAAAATTTCATAATAATGTACTTTTCTTTATTCATACGTTGGTTTTACATTCGCATTATTATTTCATCCTTCAAATTTTAGCAAGACTTTTGAAAAATTATTGGAATAGCCTGCAGATTATTTCAACGTTAATCTGTATTTATGAGCTTGTGTATTGCGGTGTGATGTTTTTCGGCATTATGTATTTTTGATACCGTTTTTTTCGGACAATGACTACCCACGCTACTGCATCTTACAATTATTTATAATTTTAATGTATTTGCGATCAGATAATAAATGTACTTAAAATTAGATCTCACTTAACTTTCAGCGTCCATATTTCAAAGTCAAAACACAAACTTCATTTTTTTTAACCCCCCTTAACAGCTCTGCACTCCGGACGTTATTCAACTGATGTGTAACGATACGAGAACGTTTACGTTCGACGACGGGCAATATTCTGTGGTGAACGTCAGCTGTGACAGCGGCTACAAACTGCAACGTCACTACGGCACCAAGACGTCTGAACTCACAAGGATGAAGCCTTGTTTGGGTGAGAAAGTCTTATTAAAGTGCACGATTTTTTGTTTTTTAATAAATTAGGCCTTCAACACACTGTTTAGTAAATTTTTAGTAGTGAAAAATATTTTATACCGAAATTTAACAAGGGCTGAATTTCTTGACGGCGGCCTTTGAGAGCTGAGTGTCTTGACAGCGGCCTTTGAGAGCTGAATGTCTTGACGGCGGCCTATGAGAGCTGAATGTCATCACGGCGGCCTATGAGAGCTGCCTGTCTTGACGGCGGCCTTTGAGGACTGACTGTCTTTACGGCGGCCTTTGATGGCTGACTATCTTGACTGCGGCCTTTGAGGACTGACTGTCTTGACAGCGGCCTTTGATGACTGACTGTCTTGACGGCGGCCTTTGAGGACTGACTGTCTTGACAGCGGCCTTTGATGACTGACTGTCTTGACGGCGGCCTTTGATGGCTGACTGTCTTGACAGCGGCCTCTGAGAGCTGACTGTCTTGACGGCCGCAAGTGAGGACTATCTTTTTTATTTAAACATTACGAACATTTCCCATGTGACTTACCACTTCTAGTGGCCTGTAAATATCCGATTAATTAATTTCATGTTCTATGTATGAGAATAAAAAATGCTGCGGAGCCAAAAACAATGACTATTTGATTTGTCCGTGATTTAATATGTACAGAAAATATATTGATATGGCCTTAAATAGTATGGCTCACAGAAATTCGGCAATTAGTGATGAATTTATGAAATTTATCTAGAAGAAAATATATTTTGCTTCATATGTTGGATTAAAGGATTTCAGTTGGAAATAAATAATTAGTTGCTAGACTGTCTTGACGGCGGCCTTTGATGGCTGACTGTCTTGACAGCGGCCTCTGAGAGCTGACTGTCTTGACGGCCGCAAGTGAGGACTATCTTTTTACAACACTTCTCTTTAACTTCACTTCTTGTTTGTTTGTCTGTCTGTCTGTCTGCTACAAATCTTATAATCAAAATTTAACACACTTCTACTTATCCTATTGATCTGAAGTTTTGCACACTCGCGTAAAGTTGGAGACAATGCATGAATCAAATGACAAAATAAATGATTTAAAAATAAAAAAAAAATCAATATTAAAAAATTGAAGAAAAAAAATTTTGTCAGCTACAAATCTTATAACTGATATTTGACACACTTTTACCTGTCCAATTGATCTGAAATTTTGCACACTTGTGTGAAGTCGGAGGCGATGCATGAATCAATTGACAGAATAAATAATTTTGAAAAAATTTATGAATTAAACAAACTTAAAAATAATTTTTTAATATTCAAAAATAAAATGAGAAATTCATTGCACATCTTTAACATTGGAGACACTGGATTCTTTAGAAGTGTTGTCTTTAAAAAATAATTTTTAAACGTATATTATTATTTAAACATTACGAACATTTCCCATGTGAATTACAACTTCTAGTGGCCTGTCAATATCCGATTAATTAATTTCATGCTCTATGTATGCGAATAAAAAATCCTACGGAGCCAAAAACAAGACTATTTAATTTGTCCGTGATTGAAAATGCACAGAAAATATATTGATATCGCCTTAAATAGTATGGCTCACAGAAATTCGGCAATTAGTAATGAATTTATGAAACTTATTTAGATGAAAATACATTTTGCTTCATATGTTGGATTAAAAAACTTCAGTTGGAAATAAATAAGTAGTTGATGACTTATAATGCGTTTTCATGATCATCTAGAAATGCTCTTAGAATTGCATTTCTTACATATTTTATATAATAAATAAGTATACAGGCATTATAGGTAGTAGAACTTGCACTTTTAAAAACAAATTGATACTCGTTGTTTGGATTTAATGTTCCTAGACAAATAGCGAGTTCCTACGTTAAGAAACGGAGCATCATTAAATATTTTCTCCGCGGATCAGGGATCGATCTCTTCCTGTAACTCTACGGGATTCTAACTCATTATTTTAATGTCTCATTTCAATTTTTGCCAGTTTGAACAGGTCTTAATTTATTTGCGTTACTCCAAAGACATAGACATAAATATTGCTGATAAGGTACAAATCTTTATAAAAAATATAAGTATGGTAATGAATGCAAGCATTTATTACAATTTGAATTGTTAAAAATTGGTGCTTCCTTTATGAGGAGCTTCATAAATAAAACGTTTACGAATTTCTATTAACAAATGATTGATGTTAATTCTCGAAGGTAATGCACTCAAAACAATAAGCCGGGTATTCAGACATAAAAATAAATAAATATTAGTCTGCTCCCTAACCAATTATGAAAGGATTAAGCATTTCTTTCAGCTATTTCGATTCATTATAATAAATTCATAAAATTGAATTCATAACTGTCAATTCATAGAAATGAATCTTCGACGAATGCTGTTCTAATTCGAATAGTCAATTTTAATGTTTTATTTAAAGGTTACATTTTTGTCGCTAGTGCTGTTCAGTTTCATCGTATTTACTTTTTCAGGTAGTAACTGTTGAACTTTTCCATTCATTATTAAACAGAACTTTAAAACATCGAAATTTTTCATTTATGAGGACCAACATTATAGCATAGTGTCGATCAATCATGAAGCTCCAAGTGCCATCATTATTCCGTACAACAGAGTTGAGAGCGCGGAACATTTTCGATTTTTATCATCGCAATTGCGAATAGCAGATGAACTTCTATAGCTATTCCAGGAATGGAGAGAAGTTTCTGCTAAACTTTTGGCCGTTGATAATGATTTGTCTTGACGCTCCAACAAGGCATGAAGTCAGAGGCCATGAAATCATCAACTGGGATTGCTGGTTCTTTTATAGATGTCAGTCATTGTTTATGTCTAACCCTACAATTTGAATTTAATGGATTCACACGAGACTATTCAGGGGCTATAATTCAACAGCTTATTTCAGCTTTTTTGGTTGATGTTTCAGAAAGAAATGCCGAGGTTTAAATTGAAAGACTCACTCGATGTCTGTACAGATTGTATTGGATCAATATTTATAATATATTGTCAATGGTGACATACATTTTTTTATCATCAGCATTGTATGCATTCAGGCGAAACAATTTTTCATTAATACTTTTTTCTTAAATAGGGTAAAACATCTAGAATAACTGTGAAATGGCCTTCAATAAGAAAATGAACATGCCAAATGAGATGTGCCGACTTAAATAAGACGACATTGATCGCATCATGTCAGGCAGCCATTTAACTTCGTAAATATATGAAGAGGCAGTAGGAATAAGTAATGAACAAGTCGCAAATTTATGTTGATTGCTGCTGAGTTTGGCTTATTTATCTTTACAGAATCACTTAACTTTAACTAACTGTGCATACAAAATTGGAAAAGAACTTAATTCAATCTGCAATCAAAAGTGAAATGAGAAATTATCCTGATCGAAAATATGTTAAAGAGACCGTACTATAATGCTGTTCATAAACGCCTGTAAAAATCCTGATTACATATGATTTAGAAATTATAGATTATTCTCATAAAAACGTTCATGTTTTAAATCCAAATATTTAGTGCAAATTGGTTTGACGGCTAAAATTGAATAAGAAAACTTGATTTTTTCTTAATTATGTAAAAATTCTAAACAGCTTTTCCCTGATAAGCTCCACGAAAAAGGTGTTACACGAATATAATCCAAGAGTGTACACAAGCTTTTTAATTAAATATGCTATACAAAACTTTCAGCGTATTTCGTCTGATAAATGATCAAGTGTTTTATGCGGCATTCAATACAGTGCACTGCGTCAGTATCGAGCTGCATATAATGCTGTACAATGCGTCACTATCAAGCTGCATTCAGTGCACTGNTGCTATACAAAACTTTCAGCGTATTTCGTCTGATAAATGATCAAGTGTTTTATGCGGCATTCAATACAGTGCACTGCGTCAGTATCGAGCTGCATATAATGCTGTACAATGCGTCACTATCAAGCTGCATTCAGTGCACTGCACTGCATCATCATCAAGCTGCATTCAATGCACTGTACTGCGTCACTATTGAGCTGCATTCAATACACTGCACTGCGTCACAATTGAGCTGCATTCAGTGCAGTGTGCAGAGACACCATAAAGCGTTATTTAATGCAGTGCACTGCGTCAACGACTGCGCAGAATCAGTAAGTTTTAATGACAGCGCTAGCAGCTGAGCTAACTACACGCCACCTGCGGCATGATAGGCGTAAATAGCTGCCTTGACTTGCGATCTCTGCTATTTTCTCGGAAAAAACCTTTCCTCGTATTTATAATGATCTTCTAGTTTGGATCACGAATTTATACTCCGCTATCATTTTACCATATTATTCCTAATTGTCATGTGGTTATTCCTACCTGAGGTTTAGCAAACCTGTTCAGTGCCTACGATGCCATTCACATTGTTTTAATCACCTGGGCAACAATGCCTCGACTTCAAACTTTTTCATGTGTTCAGCAATGATTGTAACCTGCCGGTTCGAGGTAATCGGTGACTAATTTTGTGTCAGAAAAATATGAATTCTGGCCTATTGATCCGCGGTATCGTTACGATTACCGAGACTACGAACTTTGGATCGTCAAAATTATTAATGCGTCAAGTCTGTGGCTGAAGTTGAAGGCAACATTCAGAAGTTCGTTCATGACAATCACGCATAGTGAGTCAATTTTTCATGCGTTTCAGACCAGCACCATAACGTGAAATTGTTAAGTATATTTTCTTTGTTGAGATGATAAACCATAAAAACTTTTATTATCACAAACTTGTTCACATATTCCAACAATCAATGTCGTGCCATGCTGGATTAGGAAATTAGCGTGAAGCATTTTTTCATGAAACAAATATTGTCATAAATATTTTGGACACTGAAATAAATTAAATCTTGATGGTGGATACAAAAGAAACTAATGCTGGTACGTGTTGGTCGATAGTTCTAATAAATTAAAGAATAATGATTTGGAGCGGATAACTTTTTGCTCGAGCTAATATTTGATCGTAAAGTTAGAATTAACACACAACTTCTTGGTCTGATAAAACCACGCGGCGCGTCTGGTATTAAATATTAGAGGCGAAACATTGGTGGCCGTTTTATTACCAATGATTGGCCGCCGAAAATCAACGGGTAATTTTGAAATGGGAGTTTAATATTGACAGAGAAGTTCTAAAAAAATAAATTTCAAAGCGAGGTCATGCCGAAACGAAATGAATAATAAATTGCAGCTGCTCATCGACTAAACGATCACCATATACTTTAATGTCTGAGTATGATATTATAGTCGCTCCTAGCGCTATATGAGGTGAATTATTTCAAACGCTTTTTGGTGTGATGATGAATATTAAATGTAACATTTATTTGAGAAACTGTATGGTATCACAAAATATTTGCCTTTACCTTATGACGCCTTGCAACTAAATACGCTGGTCAATATATGCTAATCTGTTATCTCAAGTTGTTTTTCGTGATGAAGCAGGTACAAATTGAGAATATATTTATATTTTGCACCAAAAGATCACTTAAACTACCAGCAAAGTAGGAAGTTACTTGAAAAATCATCAGTATAAAGTAGCACCGATGAATCTATCATTGGTACGTTTCACTAGTTCAGCATTTTCTGTTTAGTAATTTATGGGACACCAATTAAGAATCTAACTTATAAAAAAATTTATGTAAACTTTTTTCTTAATTCTTCATGCGGCGAGGCAGGACCCTGTCAAGGTAAATTATTTCCTTGATAATTTGTTTGCAGTCTTAGAGTTTCGACACGGAATTCATTTACTCGGAATACAAGTCAAAATTACTGCAGCTTACCCAACTTAATGTTGCACCTCACACAAAAACACTATACAGCGTCGTCTCTCAAAACGAAAACTGAGCTGAAATTAGTCAAATTGTGCATCCTAATATTATTAAAATAAACGAGGCACATGAATATTTTTTTCTCATTCAATACATTCACGAATAAATTAAGGGATATAAAAATTCGCCTATACATTTCTATCCAACTCTTCCTGGTAATGCTGGTTTCGCGGTCCGTTTAAAAGCAGAGGGTTATCACATCACAGTCATTATATTTGCATACAAATAAACGTAACGGTCATATTCTCTTTGTCGTGTATCATTTATACTAACGATACAAATAGTGTTGAACCAATATCCAACCGCGGGATTTATTATTCAATCATTTAAATAATTGTTTATGGAATAAAATATCAAATTTTACAGTTTCAATTTCTAATTTTTTATATAATAAACCAAATATTTTACGAATGTTCGTTGTTCAAGCACAATAATAAACTTGGTTTATTTTTTTATTTGATATTATCTCTACAATTTCCAGGCGGCATCACTTGTGGCCTAAAATTCGTGAACTCCACCAGCTTCATTTTGAACGCGACAACGACGGCCAAAAATGTCGGCAATGCCAGCAACGTTCAGATGCTCGTACGTCAATCATGAACGGTTGCGGCATTTTGTTAATTTTAAATTTTGCATCAACATTTTATCAATGGACGTTCATATTTAAATAGAAACTTTTAATCAACGTTCCTTTCAAACAATAAACATTTTATTTAAACGATGTTCCCATTCAACTATCAACATTTTACTCAAATGAAGTTCCAATTTAATAATCAATATTGTAATCAAAAGCCGTTCCACTGTGAAAATCATTAGCCTAATCTAGTGTTAAGTTCCATATTTATGATAAATGATAGGAGTTCAGTAGAAATGGCTGACAAAGGGTCTATTTAGCAAGTAACAATATTTTGAGTGTCTTTTGTCTCTGATAACCTTTTTAATTAGATGTCACTGCGTGCATGTTTAAATTTTATCTGTGAAACCAAAATTAAGTTGGGCGCATTTACGTGAATCTCTGACAGGGTTGCGAGAGTGAAAAAGTGGTTTTGACGTGCGAAACTGAGCTTCACTCTATCCACTTGTCCTATCAGTTACCCAATGGGACCAACGTCACAAACGTAAGTTAAGAAAATTCTATGTCATGTTTTAACTCAGTGTAAAGTATGTACTCCTACTCATTATGGACTCGATAATATTATATTAGTATTAAATGACAAAATTTGTTTGTTTATACACGTGCGGTTAATAATTTTCATTATTCAATACTGCTTACAACCTAACAACTTAATAAATAAATCTTCATTATTCAATATCTCTTACAACTATAAATGAACGTTGTTACATTCGAAACGTTTTTAAGAATTTAAAATTACTTCCTTAAACCGCCTTCTGATCTATCAACGTTATCTGAAGAATTGTTCGACTGTCGACTCTCTGAAAATTTGAATCATTGCAATAAATGTGCATGCAGTACGTATATCCCGAATTGTTCGAAGGTGAGCAGCAAGATAAACGATCGCGTTCACTTTGAATATGAAATTGACATGAGTAATCATGAAAAAGATTAAAGTTTACACCATAAAATGCTAATTTTGCACCAGACTACAAGCGCGAAGAAATAAAAGTAGTTCAAAACGAGTAGCTCTCTTATTCTTGACAATATATTTTCCTAAAGTACTCTATGTTGTTCAAAAGCTTGTGGATAATTCATAATTTACAATCATAAATGATCCCACCCGATTGTCATTTATAAATGAGAAGCAAGTGCGCCATCATCAACTATGATCATATCAATCGATGCGATATAAGAAATTGATGCTCGCTTTGGAAAATATAGAGCAACAATTTCGCTGATCGCTTCACAATTTAATTAATATTTTTTTATTATTCAGATTCAATAGCCATAGCAAAATAAAAATCAACAATATATGGAAAATTCTAATTAATAAATTCATCCACGAATCACAATTCTGCCCTTTTAATAGTGTTGAATTAAGAAGAGGCACATTGCAGAGTTTGTTTGCATGCACAGAAAGCATATTTAGTAAATGGGCACTAAATTATCCACGTAATTTCTAACGAACTTCACATTTTTAAGGACATTTTCATATTTCTAAATATTTTTTTAATTTATAGTGGATATATTCTGCCCTTAGTTGGATGTTCAGAAGAAACAGTTCGAAACCACCTGCAGATCAGGGGTCTTCACATCGACGGGCGTTGTGACCAAAATGAGCAACGACACCGAATATCACCCCGAGTGTCTGTTCTCAGGTGAATGGAATACCACAAAATAACAGTTTAGCTTACTATTATTATAGGTTTTATTTTTTTCACTGAAATTACGTCCCGAATAACCATGTAGGTAATTATTATACATATACTCGAATGACAATAATTAGTGTTGAAAATCTCCATGACATTGTCGGAAATCGGAAAATAGAATACAAAATTTGGGGGAGAAAATGAACCTTTATAAATTTTCTAACGAGCCACTGGCTATAAACTATAAAATTATAAAATAATGATTGTGATGGAAGATGATAGTAATAGTGAACGAAAGACAATATAAACAATAATTTTTAAATACCATCAAAACCATAAAACAGCAAAGCACCAAATAATAATTGGTGAATTTAATGTTCTTCATAGTTTTAGTTTTACATGGTTTTTCATCATAAAAAATTTATGGTCATCTAGTTTTTCTTACAGTTCCTTGACCCAATTGAATTGATTACTCAATGAAATTTGAATGGAAAGAAAGTAAATTTCCCATCACAATCTATTCGGAAGAAAAGGGTTGCTTGTCTTGATATTTCTAAACAAAAACCAAGTATTGCGGAATGCTTCCGCGCCGAAAGTATTAACATATATGCGTTGCTGATAAAAAATTACTCTATTTCATTCTATAACTTTAGATTTAGAATAAAAATACTTGGTTGGGCCGAAAATCCTAAGGATGAAGATATCGTTTCTAATGGTAGCAAATTAGAATGGTATTTATCGAAAATTCAGACGCGCAGAGTAAAGAAACCGAGGAGGAAAGTGTTGAGTCGACTAACTTAATACTTACACCAATAAACATATAACAAAGTAAACAATATAATTAATTAATAAAAGAATGGTAACAGGAAAAAAAATACAAAAAAGGTAACTCCTATTGCCATGGCTATTCCATACTACAAAGGATTACACCAGTTCTCAGCAATACCATGTCTTACCAATAACAAATTTCACCAAGACCATATCTTACCAATATCATGTCTCACCAAGACCATGTCTTACCAATACCATGTCTCACCAAGACCATGTCTTACCAATCCCATGTCTCACCAAGACCATGTCTTACCAATAATCGTTTCTAATTGTAGCAAATTAGAATGGTATTAATCAAAGATTCAGACGCGCAGAGTAAAGAAGCCGTGGAGGAAAATGTTAAGTCGACTAACTTAATAGGTACTTACACCAATAAACATATAGCAAAGTAAACAATATAATTAATTATCAAAAGAATGGTAACAGGAAAAAACTACACAAAAGGTAACTCCTATTGCACATGGCTATTCCACAATACAAAGGTTTATACCAGTTCTCAGCAATACCATGTCTCACCAATACCAGTTCTCGCCAATACCATGTCTTACCAATACCAGTTCTCGCCAATACCATGTCTTACCAATACCAGTTCTCGCCAATACCATGTCTTACCAATACCAGTTCTCGCCAATACCATGTCTCTCCCTGATCGAGTATAAACTCACCCTTAGTCAAGGAACGTCTGAAACCTCCGTTACGACGATAGGTCTTGTAGACGTTATACGAGCATCTGTTTTTGATGAATAATTCTATTTAATAATAATAAAACATTATTGACCATTCCGGCAGCTGGTTTGTGAAAACCAGTCAAATAATCAATGTGTGACACATAATTCAAAAATTGGAATCATATTCGTACCTTTTATCTTTGATGCACGATTTTCAACCTACTTTGAAAATTTTCTCTTGGACTTAATGGAATTCTTGAATCGTCTTTCCCCCCAAAATCTCACTCAGTTAGCGTGTTAATATATGCTTACGAAATTAAACTTATTCAAACCTTTTCATTTTTCAGGCTCGCTGCTCTGCAGAGGTGATAAGCTGAGTTCAGCTCAGATAAGTTTTTTTATCGTAAAGATTATTTTGTAAAGCCGTGAAGTGCTAGTAGTTTCGCAATAATGTTAATTCATTTTATGAATTCAATTGTATAATATAATTTCAATTGAAACATAAATATTCACTTCTTTTAAAAACACTAGCATTCACACTATTGTAATTATGAATGAAAAGCATGAAAAAATTGAACGATTATCATTCACTGAAACTGCAAGATTTTGAAATTTTATTTATTGTCGATTCCAACATAGTATTTATTATTTCAAAATTTACAAAGAAGGCTCAAAAATATTCGCTGCACATAAATGTTTGTTTTGCATGAACATAAATAAGATTAAACCGACATCATCCTAGCTCTGAAAAAATATCCCCGAAAACCATTTAAATAAATCAATGCAGTTCCGATAAAGTGTTACACGGACAAAAGTTTGTCATTTCAATATCAAATAGCACTATGTATAATTATATGCATAAATTAATGGTTGTTCTTCAACAGGTCAACCCTACTGCGTTTTCACATTCCAAAATTCGACGCCCAGTTTCTTGACCGACGCCTCGACCAATGCCACTAACAGTGGTAACATCTGGAGTCCTGTTATGTATGTAAGTAGTATGATGTATGTATGCAGTATTAGGATGTATGTATGTAGTAGTAGGATGTATATGTAAGAAGTTTGGAAGGTAGGACATCTGAGCTCCCTTAACTATAGGCGGGTTCTATAGCCTAAAACATGAAGGGGAACAAAATAAGTTTATATAGGATTTTGTAAACTACAGTTAGCGAAAAAAGTATTCATACATCCCTTTCTTTTCAATGTTTGCCTCAAATAACTCGCAAAATTGAAGAATGTATGAGCCTAATATTTAACCGAACTAAGCAGTACATATGTAAAACAGAAAATAACACCACATTTTCAGAACAAAGTGTAATTTCAAAACGCTTTACGTGCAGAAATTCTCAAACACCTTAATTCTGGCACAATTATGCGCTCAGTTGTAAAATACTAAAATAGTTGCAATAATAATTGTTGCAGTCACTGTCTATAGTTTTTGATGAGATTCGAAGTGCTATCCGGTTTGATATTATCCCGGTGGATATTTTTATCAGTTTCGTCATTTAAGAGGTGTCTGTTCCTGCCATTTGACTGCAAACTTCAGGATGGGCGAGACGAAGGAATTCAGTATGGATTTGAAAATATGGATACATCTCGATGGATACAGGCAATGGTTATGGATACATCTCGAAACACCGGAATGTTCCAATATCCACCTTCCAGTCGGCGATAGAGACGTTTGTAGAGTTTAGTACTGAATACACATTGCTTGGATGAGGACGGAAGCCAAAACTATCGGAACGATCAGTTCCGGAACTGTGTCGCGAGGTAAATATGAATCCAAGAGTGGCGTTGAAGAACATGGCCAATAGATTAGCTGGTGAGGGAACAAGCGTGAGTGAGCTTACCATACAGCGTTGTCCCAACAATTAAGAATGTCCAGCATGGACGCAGACCTCGACGAGTGCCACTTCACACACGACGTTATGTTGCTGCTTGATTGGCATTCGCAAGCTCATGCGTGGACAAAGAGGAAGGTTTTCGGAACCAAGTATAATATATAGCGACGTAACAAAAATTGAGCTACTTGGACTTAATTAATAGTACGAAGAAGATTTGACGGAAAAAATGGATGGCGTTCATTCTGAAGAACACAATCCGAACATTCGTACCTGGGGGTGGATCAATTATATTTTGGGGTTGTTTCGCCTCACTTGGCACATGGAAGTTAGTTTCAATAATTGATGGAATAATGAACTCAGATGCTTATAGTTATAAGACCTATAAGCTAAGTTTATACGAAGGTCAATGTTTGACCAATTTGAACCAGATCGAAGAATTGAAAGTTAGAATCATTTTTGGGCTCCCAAGAATCGACAGGAATTGAAACAAGTCGCAATTAAAGAATGGGATAATATCAAAGCTGACACACTGCGAATCTCGTAAAAAAACTATACAAAAGTCCGCAGGAGGCTATCAAGATGAAAGAACATGCCAATGATTATTAATATTGCAACTATATTATTTTTTGCCAACTTGAATGATAATTGTGTCTACAGGTTTTGGGGAATTTTTGCATGTTGAAACGTTTAGAAGTTACATATTGTTCTGAAAATGTATTGTTATTTTTCATTTTACATACTGCCTAGTTCAATTAAATCTTAGGCTCAGACATTCATTAATTTTCGAGTTATTGAAGAAAACATTGAAAATGAAGTGAGTGCGAATAATTTCGTCGCTAACTGTAGTAGCTGGTGCTAATTTGTTACTTCGCGTCTCTGTTTAATTTACTTCGCAGATCTCTGTATTTAAATTGTAAACTGTAACTTTGTAAATTATAAAGTGTAAACTATAATTTGTTACTTGATAATTGTAAACATAAATATTTTTTGAATTTAGTAAAAAAAGACATTCCAGAGCACCTGCCATCTAACGTGAGCACATACCATCTGACGTGAGCACTTACTATGTGACGAGAGCACCTGCCATCTAACGTGAGCACATACCATCTAACGTGAGCACCTACCATCTGACGTGAGCACCTGCCATCAAACGTGAGCACATACCATATGACGTGAGCACATCCCATTTGACGTGAGCACATACCATGTGGCGTGAGCACATACTATGTGACGTGAGCACATACCATCCGACATGAGCTCATACAATGTGACGTGAGCAAATATAATGTTACATGAGCACATACTATATGACGTGAGCACATCCCATGTGGCGTGAGCACATACCATGTGACGTGAGCACATCCCATGTGGCGTGAGCACATACCATGTGACGTGAGCACATGCCATGTGACTTGAGCACAGGTCATCTGACATGAGCTCATACCATCTGTCGTGAGCACATACCATCTGACATGAGCTCATACCATCTGTCGTGAGCACATATCTAGTGACGTGAGCACTGACCACAGCTTCAGTGTCAGTTGAATGCCCCAAAAACGATAGAACTTCCTGGAAATTTTACTACCGATAAACGTCTTAATGAAAATGTTTCTGCTTGCTTTTAATTGTTTGTTTTAAAATGTTCAGGAGTCTCGAAATTTAATTTTTATCTCTGATTGCAACATTTTTCAATCATTTTCGTCTGTAAAGCTCGTTTTTATTAACTGAAAGTTAGTATTATTTTGAAATTAAAAATCATATTGAATTTAACAAATTTTAATTTTGATACTGTCATCAAGTTGCAACAAAAAATGCACTGAATCCGTTCAAATAATTTATTGCCTTGATCACTTCATGAGTTTTTCTTTCCTGTCATTGGAGAAGCCATTTTACACATTCCAATATCTGAAACAATTGTTTTCTTTCAAGCTATTAATTTTTAGTTGACTTTTTTCGAACTTTTCAACTATCAATCCATGTCAACTAGTATTAATATTTGCCTGTATCGAATGTGTGTATCTGCTTCATGATTTAATCGGTCCAACTGGAATATCAAAATGTAGCCTTTGATGAATTTTTCTAGTGCTAGGCCCAGTCAACGCACGTGCAAACGCCCACTTTTAATGCGGTGTCTGGCTGATGCAGCAACTGCTATGTCCCAAATTATATTCAACAAACTTATTTCTACAGCTGGACTCTGGCGTTAACATGCTAAAAGCGACGTGTACAGCTGGGATCTTCACGACCGACGCATCCGCACCCGAGATGAAGACAATCTTCAACACCTCATATTACCAGCCGAGCTGCACAACTGGTGAGCTCTTTTGTTATTATATCGCATTAGTCCTTTCAGAAATGTACATTAATTAATAAAATGTACATTATATCGCATTAGTCCTTTCAGAAATGTACACTGTAAAAAAAATGACCGTTGAACGGTATCACCGGCGTTCTAGTGGCCGGCCGACACGTGAAAAGAAACACCAAATGACCGTTTTTTCTCAAATTTAACACTAGAAACCCGAACAACATAAGAAAAAAACGGATAAACGGCTTATTTTCACTTAGCGACCGGCCACTGGAATGCCGGTGAGACCGTTTTTTTGCGTTTTTCGAACAATGCCGTCAAGAGCGAGCATCACAGCGGTCATCCGCGGCAGCCTTTTATCGAGTTTCTTCACTAAGTTTTTCCGCCGTTACTTCACTCGTAAAAAATATAGTGGTCTATAATTTTAAATGTTATCCCAGCGATTTACTTTTAAATCACTGACATTAATATAACTTTGTAAACGTTGTAATTCAAATTTTAACATGGATGCCCAATTTGCATTCAGGAGCTCAGTAAGCGCGGATATTTTTATTCGCGATGTGCATTTGCTCTTATATTTATTCATCTATTCGATCTTTATGAATGATTATATTTAAAAAATATTTCCTGATTTTTCCGAGCTGATTTCGTGAAAAATTTTCCTGATTTTTTGCCAGTGCCATCGACAACTGCAGCGACAAAAGCCGCGACTGAAACAACTACAGTTAATGCCACTACCACGGCTAATACCACTACAACTGATTCAACCACTACTGCTACAACCCCTTCTGCTGCAACCACCAATGCTACAACCACTACTGCTACAACCCCTGCTGCTACAACCACCAATGCTACAACCCCTGCTGCTACAACCACTTCTACAACAGCCACCAATGCTACAACCACTACTGCTACAACCCCTGCTGCTACTACCACCAATGCTACAACCACTTCTGCTGCAACCACACTTACTACGGACAGCAGTACTGCTTCTACCACCGCAGCGGGAAGTGCTACCACTATTTCCACAGCCACTGCCAGTACCACCATAACAACCATAGCAGGAGGTGGAGCTACAACCACAGCGGTGGGCACTACCACGACCGACGCGAATGGCACCACAGCGGCCGGCGGAGGCGGGTTCACTACAATGACCACAACTACACGTAAGTCTGGTATCACTGATACTAGTATGCACGCAACATGTGAGAATGAATTCATTGCGGTCACTGAAATTGGGATTTCTGAGAAGTTCTCATGTCTTAGGCAATGCTAGGCTACAATTTAGTTAAGTTATCAAACATTTTTTTGGCTTATTCATTGCTAATAACTTACTGAAATTGGATAATCTCATTAAAGTATAGTATAGTATAGTATAGTATAGTATAGTATAGTATAGTCAGAGGTGGGCAGTAGCGCGCTACATGTAGCGGCCGCTACTAGCGGCCGCTACATTTTCAGTAGCGGTAGCGGTAACCCCTGCTGCTACAACCCCTGCTGCTACAACCCCTGCTGCTACAACCCCTGCTGCTACAACCCCTGCTGCTACAACCCCTGCTGCTGCGACCCCTGCTGCTACAACCCCTGCTGCTACAACCCCTGCTGCTACAACCACTTCTGCTACAACCACTCTCACTACGGAAAGCAGTACCTCGTCTACCACCACAGCAGGAAGTGCTACCACCATTTCCACAGCCGCTGCCATTACCACCACAACAACCATAGCAGGAGGTGAAGCTACAACCACAGCGACCGGCGAAGGCGGGTTCACTACAATGACCACAACTACACGTAAGTCTGGTATCACTGATACTTGTAAGTATGCAACATGTGTGAATACATTTATTGAGGTTACTGATATTGAATTTCTGAGAAATTCTCATGTCTCACGCAATGCTAGGCTACAATTTACTTGAATTATCAAACGTTTTTTTAACTTATTCATTGCAAATAAATTAATGTATGTGGATACCCTCAGTATAGTATAGTATAGTATAGTATAGTATAGTATAGTATAGTATAGTATAGTATAACACAGTACACAGTATAATATAACATAGTATACTTCCCTGTATTTTAATGAAATTTCAACTTAGATTTACAGGTTTTAAAGGTCGCCGGCAGCAGCGTTCTCAATGGATCCTTGTCTGCACTGCATAAAATATTTGCTACAATGTCTTCTTAAAACTGTTTGATTGTTTCGCTCTTTCCACCCCAGGCCACATTTTTGGTATTAATTTTATGTTCTTTCTTTTTTTCCTAATTAAATTTATTTATATGTCTGGGTATGAATGTTGCGTTTTCAATTAATGTCGACATCACTTAAGGGATGAATGAGAACGAATCGGTGAGCGGCATTGAAAGTTAATTCGCAGAAAAATTTTTCTGGGAAATCAAAACATATAAATTTCTGTCGATTTCTTCCATTATAAAATTTATATATCGTAATGATATATAATGTTATTGAATACGGGCTTTAAATAAAGATTTGTCAGGTTAGTTTGTTCAAATCGAATAGAATTGTCGTGAATTTTTATAGCAAGATATCTCGCATTGAACTATTCGGTTGTGCATCAAGTATAGAGTGTTGAAAAATTAGATCTAATAAATGAAGAAATCAAATTTACTGGTTTTATTTCATTCATTTTTATTAGCGACGTTGTCTTTGGATAAATAAGTCGCTTTGGATAAATAATCTTCCGAGCCAGTGAATAACTTTGATACTGAATTATTTACAATAATGATATTTATAAAAAAAGTGGCTGCCATAAAATCAATCAAAGTAGGACTCTTCAAGATATATGTTTAATGTAAAACTCCCATTTATCACCCGTTTTGAAATAGGGAAAAATAATTACAAAATTTTTTGACTAAGTATTCCATCATTAACTAAATGATCAATTTCATATTTTACGAGGCATGTTTTAAATGCGAAAGCGTCTGCACCAAAAAAAATATTTTTTTTTATTTCATCGTCTCGACACGATAGGTATTATGGATACTCGTATAAACTCAGAGAAATGTGTGAGATTTTCTCCAAATAGCGCATCAATTTGCCCGGTTGTGATCACCCTGGAGGCATCACTGCTGCGTCCACTTGCTGCCCGCGCTGTGTGAGAAGAAATGTGAGTCACTATTCGTAACATATGACCCATTCATTGTTTCGAGTGTAGGCCAAACTTTATGTGACTGTGTACCATCAAGTGCCTTGCGCGTACCACTTTAAGGTTGTCTACAGACACCGCGTACGGCTAGGTACTTTACACGAACTACATTAAGGTTTTGTGCAGTAACCGCGTACCATCATGTACCTTCCACGTACTGCCACCACGTACCGTCAGGTACTTTCCGCGTAGGTACCACTTTAAGGTTTTGTACAGTCGCCGCGTACCATTATGTACCTTCCGCGTACAACTTGTAAGTTACGTACAGTCACCCAGTACCGCCAGGTACTTTTCACGTACCACTTAAAGGTTGAGTACGGACACCGAGTATCACCAGGCGTCTTCCGCGTACCACTTGGAGATTACGTACAGTCACCGACATTTCGTTGCTTCTCGTTTATATTAACAAATTGCTCAAAAAATGGCTAACAAAATTTTAACAACGAGAAAAAAACATCATCAGTTTGCAAATCTTCACTGAAAACAGTGGTTGAATGGCAATTACTTTCTACCCCTTGAAATTATGGTTCATAAATTGGTTGGTCAAATAAATTCACGTCCAGCGAATGGTGCTCAGGAATGTTAGATGTTCAAACATCTTGCCTTGATTAATATGACTATGCATCAGATATTAATCAACAAAGCATTGTATTCAATGAATTAGGCATTTAAATCCAAGTAATTTTCATTTCCCCAGTGGACTGAACAGTAACTCTAATTATTGATAGTTCATCTCCATTACTGGTTTGATAAAAAAACATGTTATTATTTGAATATATCATTTTGAAGTAAGTAAGGATATGTTATTACTATTCATTGCTAATAATTCGATTGAAGAAATTAGAAAGTTGGAATTAAAATTATTCGCAATGAAGAAAACGAGACAAATAAATTTAAAGATTTCTAAATTCAAATTGCTTCATTCTGTGCTAAATTCAGTCAATTTTCTTTCAGAGAAAATTTCGCCGATCGAAGAAAACGCAGCAAGATTATTATAGTATACTAATGTATAACTTTGTGATCAGCCTCTGATCAATCGTCATGCGTAGGCAGCAGGCTGCAGCGGGCAGCACTGGGTCATGAAAACCTTTAATAGAGAACCGCATTGAAAACTTGCATGTTACCTTAGTTCCGCACGTAAAAATTCTGCGCGATTAAATGAAGATCTACAAAATTAATCAATAAGAATTTATTATAATTGAATACGAGATATATTATATCCGTTGTGGCGTTGAACACTAAAGGTTTTAGCGCATTNAACTGAATCACCTAAAAAATATATATAGAATGGAGAAAACCGTATGCTCGAACCGTAAAATTACATTCATCATGGAATTTCAAGGTGAAGATGAATACTATCGTTATCATTTTCTCCTGCTGAAATATTGTGATCTCGATTGTATGTTTAATCTCACCCGTGTTTTACCCACTATGCATTAGCAGCTATAGATCACCAATACGAATATCTGAGCAAGGTCATATCCTTAAATCAAGTTTTTGAGGATAATGTTGGATTTTCCACACGATGTTTATAGATTATTCTATTGAATAAACTATCCTTCGATCTTTTCCTTTCCTTCGGACTTTCAAAAACTTAGCCCGATTTAAAAGTATTCTACAATCTTGAACGTAAAAAAGGCACAGCAAAAGACATCTGTAATGGAAAATAAAACCGAGGCTCTCAACGAATCATCGGAGAAACTGGGTTGTTTTGAAGATATGAAGGGAGAAATTCCTATTTGGTACTTTTACAGACGAATGAGATATGGCTGACTTATGGCTGACGTATGAAACGTCGTATTTAGTATTAATTAAAGGAATGACCAAGTGCCTACCGAAATGCTTCTACAAAATCTAATGCCTTGTATTGAAAATGACTTAAAATCGAACTTTCTAAATTAAATTCTAACAATTTTTAGACTTTATAATACTTCATTCATATCTTTTTGTTCGTGATATGAACTCGACTACAATGAACACTGAATATCATGCATTAGTGAAGCTTTTACGGAACCGATGGCTAATGCAGTAGCCCAGTAAAGTTCAATATTTACGTACATTCTGGAACGGTTTTAACTTTGAACTGCGAGCGTTGCACGTTAATGCAACGAAGATCGGTATATACTGCATTAATGTTTTATTTATGTACGCTCTATCGAAAGTTTACATACTGGAAGCTGACTAGATTTTCAATAAATATTATATAACCCATATTCTATGAAAACATCGCACAGCTGACATGTAACTGCTCTCAATTTTCCTCATTAATAGAATATTTAGGAAATGTGTTCCCTGCAAACACTCAAATCGAGCGAGTTGAAACTAATGTTATTTGGCCAGGTTTAGATTCGCCTAAACACAAACTAGTTTGATTCAAACTCTAAGAATCATGACGGGAAGTCAGAATAGGATGTTGAAATATGCATTTAATTTAAAAAAAGGTGACATTCTTAGGTGTGAACTCTAGAAGTCAGAAAGCCCACGAATTAGGCAACTACCATCAACTTGAGTTTGTTTAGTGATGGGTTTATCGTTTTTAGTACAATTACATTTATATAAAATTTAAATTATAAGTCTCATAACGCCACGACAGCTTTACCAGTAAGATATATACAGTTAGAATAACACTTTTAAGCAATTAAATAATAGAACAAGTGTTGTCAAATAATAATAGTGAACAATAATTCGATTCCATAATGAATATTGTTGTACAACAATCGATTTCATCCGAGCAATCAATTTTTTAGAACAATCGATTTTTTTGTGGAGCAATCTACATTCGTGTTTGAACAAAATTCATACCATATACATCTAATTTGGTACTGAAATTCGCTAAGTTACAAAATGAAATAGTGCTGATTTGAAATTCACGGTTTATAAAATTCTGTTTGCGGTTTCTTTTCTAAGCTCCCCTATGCACTTAATAATTCAAGCAGTTTAAACTGTGTCTGTCTTATTAGTTTTCTATGAATGTTTTTTTTTATAAATTCACCAGGATTTCAAGATGAGGACGTTCCGACTTTATCGTAGAATTTTTTCGAGAGCTAAAAATGATTTTCGCAACATTACCGTTATTCTCAACAACCTTAAATTTGAGATTTCTAAAAATCGTCCTGATCGTTCATACTTATAGGTCATTATTTTTACCGTCTTCCGAACATTGCAAGTCGTTATTAAATAGTCCATCAAACATATAAGAATAATAGATGCCCCTAAGCTAGTGTTATTTCTGGAGGCAATATCTCACAGGAATTACTACATGATTTATTCGTCGTTACTCATATTCAGAGCTTCACTCCCAGAACATTTGGAGTTACTCGTCTTCGATGCATTACACTCATTACAGTCATGGTCACTCATCATCGAGGCAACACACTAAAGACACACGCACTCACCAACCATCCAAGCAACACACTACAGACACGGACGTACTCAGTATACGTTCGCGTGACGTTCTTAAGAGTGCATTAGAGCGTTCATCTAATGTAACAGCACAGTCCATTACTTCAACCAACATTTTATCGCATAAAATTTCTACTCCTAATGCAAAGTGTCCCTTGAACTGCATTTTTCGATGAACGAATAATGTGCTGCTGGAAAGACACTGCAGCCGTTGATATCTAATGGACAGTAAATGCATTTATTGATTGGAACAAAATGCATAATTCAGTGAAGCCGAGCGGCTTGTCTCTCGTGAGCTCGGCAGTTAGGTGCCAGAGAGGGCGCTTGTGACACCTATTCCTGCTCTCTGATTTTCTGCATTGCCATCAAAATCGTTAATTCGATAATAAATTTTGATAACACTATTCGTAGCTGCAATTTTTTCCATTCTAAATTCACGTTAGACATCGACGTCAGTTTAGCATTGAATAGAATATAGTTAAATTCAATTTTATATATTTTAATACTAATTAGTGATATTCGATGATGCTATTTTTAAATTAAGATTTTTGATTAAAGTATGGCAAGCCATTGATGCTTAACTATCTTTTATCGTTTCAGTAAATATATGATAAGAATTCTTTCATGCAGGTTAGCTCTAAAAAATACACCGTAAAATAACTGAAAACATGCGCTGTCTACTTATTTTTCTGAGTGTCTTCGGCGTCATGTCCGCGGGTGAGCATTCGTAAATTTGAGTCATTAAAAAAATATAAAAACAATTCGATCAAAATTATCGATATCACCCAGAAAACTGCCTCCTTCAAACACTGATTTTACAAAATTCTTAAGCTTAATTTCTTTGACCATCTTGGTGTTTTACGCTGCATTTATTGCTTAAATGTTATCGAATAGGTCCTATTTATTTGATTTATTTATCGAATGATCCAAATTTAGATTGATTACAGAGTTTTCTCAATGCACACATGCGATAGCTGTCAATTCTGATTTCGCATCATAGCACAGAAAATTTTTTAACGTGGTCACTTCTCATTCATAAGGCTCTACTAACCTTTTTTATTAACTGCATTCATATTGAATGTTTTTGCAAGGTTTGTACTTTGTTTTAATATTATTTTTGCCTTTCTTTATGCAGATGATATGTGCTTCATCGACCTCACCGCATCAAACATCGTTTACTCCAATTACACCATCGCAGACTCCAGCCTCGCCGTGCTGAATGAAACATCAAATCTGCTAGCCGTGAGTAAAAGTCTATAATTATCAGTATCTAGCCGAGGCACAACTCAAGCAAATAGATAATGTAATCAATTGAACATTAAAAAAATTAACAAAATTTTTACTTCTGGTCATGGTGAACCCGAGTCATGGTCTATGGTTTTGATCATGGTCTACTTCTGATTCAAACAAAAAGAAATATAATCAATCTAACATATTTTAAAAGAGAACAATGTGAACGAAATTTTATGAAAAATTCAATCAATCAAACATTCCATTAAGAAATTAAATGATCAAAATTTCGTTTCTGTTCAGGGCTGCCCTACGGGCGTGGTGACGTTCTCCTGTGGTCCAGTTGAGGTCCTGAAATATTATTCAAGCGTAATCCCCAAATATTCCTTTGAAAAATTAAATGATCAAAATTTCATTTCTGTTCAGGGCTGCCCTACGGGCGTGGTGACGTTCTCCTGTGGTCCAGTTGAGGTCCTGAATTATTCAGGCGTAATTCTCAAATATTCTTTTGAAAAATTAAATGATCAAAATTTCATTTCTGTTCAGGGCTGCCCTACGGGCGTGGTGACGTTCTCCTGTGGTCTAGGAGAAGTCCTGAACTATTCAGGCGTAATTCCCCCCATGACTGCCATGCCGGTGCTCTGCTCGCCTACTGGCGCCTGGGTTCTCAATGCCGGACCGACCGCTACTCAAAACTTCACTTCACTCGCTAATTGCGTTGGTGAGTCTTTGCTAAATTTTTGACGCATCTGAACTCGTGAGGTTCTGAAATTTTTTACATAAATTGTGAATTTTTTTGCATGACTCTACTGCACGAGTCACCTATTATCGTACATGCAAAAAAACTGATAATTTGCCTCCACGTGTAAAAAATAAGTGAACGGTTTGCGAAGGAACGATTTATGTGCAGTGTATTCAAACCTTTGACTACTTCTTGTAAACATTCCTAAATTTTCATGTGATTTTAATGCAAAAAAAACAGTCATAAAAGTAACAGTATCTTTCGCTAAAAATACATTGTAACCCCGCTTCCAACATTGTTTTCAGACTTAACGGTTACAACAACACAAGTGACAACAACAACAGGTGAGACTAAAATTTTGTTTCTCATGGTCAATTGAAATCTAATGTCTTCATCTCATCAACACCTGGTGACGTATTGTTAACGAAAATCATTAATTCCAACTAATTAATATGCTCAAGTTTGCATGCATTCGTAATCAATTCATTAAAATTGATGTTATATTTTTTGTGAATTTTTGAAGGCTCATGCAGGGTATAGGGCAGAGCGATTGAGCGGTTTTGAGAAGAAATAAAAAAGTAATGGAGGTTCATAAAGAAAAAAATTTTTTTTTCATCGAGGTAAGCACAAATCAGGTGACCTCGCAGAGACCCCGGACGTCTGATGTCTCTGCATGAGGGGTGATTTACAGTGGCCTGCAAGGTCACCGGATTTGAGCCTTTGCGATTTCTTTCTTTGCGGACATCTAAAAGAGAGGGTGTTCAAAAATCGCCCTCACACCCTACCATAGCTAAAGTAGCGGATTATTGCAGCAGAGGTTATGGCCATACCGCGCTATGTGTGTGAACGTACTATAGGAAACTTCCAAGAATGACTCCAACAGTGTGTTGCAGCTATAACGGCCACCATCTTCCTGATATCATTTTTAAAACATAAGTATTCTAAATGGTATGTTATGCTGACCTCGAGGAAAATAAACTTTCTTCCTTATGTACCTCCGTTACTCATTTATTTCGCCTCAAAACTGCTCAATCGGTTCTGCCCCACCCTGTATCTAAAAACTGAAATAATAGAATTGCACGAATAAAACCTGCTCTGTATTAACCAATTGGAAATTATTGTTGTTTCGGCTTGACGTTCAAATTTCAACGGCTTGTTTTGAAATTTATTCAAATTTTTTTCCGCAAATTCTAATTCGTTTACGGAACGCTCTTGATTTCGTCAGCTCTGGTCAAGTCTTGGTATAAAATAAATAGAGCTAAAAAAGCTTCACTTGCAACAAGATTTAAGTCATTATGACAAGTGTCTTTTAGATTTTAAATGTCAGCAGCTCTGCACTTTATTTTACTTACCTTTTCTCGGAATAATAAATTTCAAAAATCCTTTGCATAATCTACTGCAACACTTCAAAAAAATACCAAATGGTTGGATGCGTAATTGAGAATATTTAAGAGTACTTCTCATTTACGATTAAAATCAATTAATCGGGAAGATCTGAATCCCACTTTCAATCATTTAATTAGTAAAAAAAAATATCGAAATAAAATAAATATTGAATTGATCGTAACAGTTGTAAGAGATTACAGTCAATCATGTATGCCCAATGTATTTTTATCATCTAATTCTCAATTGTCTTCCATGTAATTTCATTATCAGGAATCACTACTCCAATTCCAACAACACCTACACTTCCAACCGGTACTGGCACGGCGACGGCTGTCACAACCACTGACACAACGCCTGCCGCGCCAGCCACCACCATAGCAGGCATGTCTACAATTACAACTTGAGTAACAAGTAGTAACAAGGTAACGATAATGTTACAAGTAGCAACAAGGTACGATAATGTTACAAGTAGCAACAAGGTAATGATGATTTTATTCTATATTATATCAAGCAGAGATCACTTCAGCCACGACCATAGCAGGGGAGTTTACTGTAGCAAATTAGGTTACAAATTAGCAACAGGTTTCAGATTATTTACATTGTTTCAAACACAGACTTCAGCCACTGCCATAACAGGCAACATGTTAACGATCGTTGCGTTTGCATTGTAATTTTCGAACGATATTTTCTTACATTAACGACGAACTGAGATTTTTATTATTATCGAATTATATTTTTGTTAGCGCGGACTTTCTACGGACTTTCTACGTGCCAAGATCAAAGAATCAAATTATATCCTAAGGAGGAACTATATCGACTGGGAGTGGAACTACCGTGACTGGAGCTGACACTACCATGACTGGAAGTGGAACTACCGTGACTGGACGTGGAACTACTGTGGCTGGAAGTGGAACTACCGTGACTGGAGGTGTAACTACCGTGACTGGAGGTGGTACGACAGTGGCTGGAGGTGGTACGACAGTGGCTGGAGGTGGCACGACAGTAGCTGGAGGTGGTACGACAGTAGCTGGTGGTGACACGACAGTGGCTGGAGGAAGAGAACACGGACCAATATCTGCCATACTTAGCGAGAAACCCGCTATGGGCCCGTGACCCGCAGTGGGCTCGCTGCCCCATGTTACCCTACATAGAAAACGATCATAAACAGTATAAATCAATTTAGCTACTAAACAAAGTAATTAGTACAGGATGACCGATGCTACACCTATAAGTACCTACTTACTCTAATAGGAGGTTCTAGCGGAATGAATCTAAATACTAAAAATTGAAATGAAGGTAACTATTGTCGTGTTCATTGGGGCGACATTCCTGGATAAACAAATCTTATTTTTACAATGAAGTCTAATTCTAAATTTCTAAATATTTTATTATATTAATTCAATATCTTGAACGGAACCACTATACTTTCAGAGGGTGCTCCTCCGAATAGTATAAATGATTTTTTCATAAATTTCGAGCCAAGCATTAAACATCGTGTGATATTTAGCCAGACACATATACGAGCTCTTAGGGTACACTATAATTTGAGTTTGCTTGTGTTGATAAGAATGTGATCAAAAATATGTAACTCGTTTTTGACATGAATGTGTTATCATATACATTATTCTCACACTAATTCTTCTCTACAGTTTACCGTCGTCCGGCCTGCTGCGCGCTCGTGCGATGTATCATATGATATATTAACCAATCTCCTGTATTATTAATAATGTATTCCGATGCACAGTGCCTGGTCCATATTAATATTTTCATCTGGTCCATGTCATTACAGGCTCATAATAATATTTTTTAGGCGTAAACAAAGGAAGATATTAATGAAAATAAAATATGTGTTTTCGTTTGCATTATTTTTACTGCAACATTTTTTTCCTTTTGTTAGTCGTCCGCATTTGCAACATTCATTCATTTATTTAGCCCCTCAAAGCCTTGTTTGATTTATTTCAATATGCTAGAATGGTTATATAATTTAATTTTTTATGAATAAAAATTTCCATGCACGTAAAATATTTTACACATTTTTTTTGTCCATACTCTCTTTTTTTGAATTATTTTTGCGTTAAAATGTGAATACGTCAAATTGAATGAATCATGTGTGGTGAATTCTATGAACTGAAAATTGTTCCAGTTATTGTTGTTTTAGGAACTGGAAAAATGCAGATTACTATTAGGTCTGTGTTGTTATTATCCTCATGTTTATGTTGGAAAATTTGAAATATATTTTCATGCATAATAACTTTATATAATTATAATAATTGTATCATAGAATACTTTGATATAGTAACTAATAAAAAATAGTAAAAATAAAAACTAATAAAAGTCACGAAGCAAAATGACGTTACACATAAGCAACCGACTTATTTATTCAAGTTCCAGTGAGTTTTGAAATAAACTCCAGTAGATTTTGAACTGCGGAACTTATTGGGTTAGCCAAAATTTTCCTTGCACATTTCGATGCAATTTGATTTATACCAATCCAATAGATACTTATTTGTCGACTCATCGATTGTCGTAGATTTGAATTTGTCATTTTGCTCCGTGGCATTCAGAGCGCGAAGGGCTAATCAAGCTTGAGATTATAAATTGATTGCCTGATGTACATCCACTGGTCTATATGCATGAGTAGAAATTTGACTTGAGGCTGTATTGAATTAACGCGCCAAGTCGTATCCTTCAAAATGTACGTCTAATGAAATTATCAAGTCAAACTCATATAGTAAATGGAAACGCTTCTCCATTTTACTGAAAATGATTCCAGAATCTACAGTGATTGAAGTACTATGAAATATTTTGTAAGTGCAGAACCTTAATAACGGCAAAAGCCAAAGAAATTAAAATACTAGATTAACCCCCCCCCCCCAAAAAAAAACAAGCAAATGTTACGTGTGTTGTAGCCTTGCTCGAACATGGGTTTTGAGGTTTCTCAATAGCCAACGTCTCCGAACGTTCATTCTCAATGCGATGTGTATTGGATGCGGTCAGTCGGCTAGCTTCATATCCCGTATGTTCGCGGTGGAACCATGACCACGACTAACGAATTCGTTGCTTATTAAAACAACTACTAAGTAAAATTATTGATATAAATAAATTTCCTTCTAAATAAAATTATTTTCGTATTTTACTCATGGCAAAATCAACCCAGTATTCTCGATGATTCGATAGGAGCTTTATTCTTATTTGTTTGCCACAGATGTTTGTTTTTTATTTTGTCGGTTTTACTCTAATATTATGAAATTTAAAATGATATATTTGTATATTCACGTTCATTCTTTAAGTTTTGCGTCTTCGATTTTTGTAGAAATCAATACGAACTCCAACGAATCATCGTTAAGCCTCACCAAAGTGAACTCGAATTTTTCTTCACAATGTGATGTAATTGAATATATAGCCACGTGAGATGCAAAGCCAGAAATTTCATCTCGTTAGGCGATTAAAAATAAGTAAAATTATTCAGCGAGTTACCTATTCTGATCAGTTTTATTTGACATAGAAAATGACTTCATTATTATTTGAGATAATCAATTTATTCCTTATCTATTTTATAACATTTTATTTTATTTTATTTTATTTTATAAAATTAGTTCACGTGAATAACACGTGAACTAATTTTATCTGAATCTTTGCCTCATGTAACTATTACTAAAATTAGTCTTTAAAAGACTTTCCAGCGTGTCACGATGTCTAAAAATTATCTGTCCAAGCCCTTACCATGTATAACGATGAAGTGAAGCTTGTTCAATGACAATTAAAATTTGTGCGTTTACTATTCGTGGATACATAATGTTCATAATTATCATGATT